CTAATGCCCACTTGAATCCAGTCATGGCGACGCAATCAGAGCCATTCTCGGTCGTGCTGTCGCGAACCGTTCCTGAACTGAGCCGCACAAGCTTGAAGACCGCCTTGGCGTCTGGCATCTCACTTTTGTCCGCCTTCTGCCATTCGAAGTCCTGGCGTCGAATCGTGCCAGCATGATCCACCTCGATAGAGAAACGGTATCCAAACGTCACTTGATTCTTGAACATTCCCCCGCGCATGATCTCCATGGCACCATTGAAACTCTGCTCCTGAGGCGCAATGGCTGCGTCGACCGCGTCATTCAGCGGCGGCAGTGTAATGATGCTGGTTGTCGATGCCAAAGTCCAGTTTGGCTCCTCGGCGACCGTAGCCAGGGCAGGGTCTTTATTGCTGGGACCATTATGGAGGATCATGCACGGCTTCCCGTCATATTTGCCACCGCCAGAAATATAATAGGTCGAGAAGGCGTAGAGCTTGTGACTTGTGCTGTCGCCAAGATGTGCGGTCTGGGTGAACCTGATTTGCGAGTACACGCTCACAGTATTGGGCATTGGGTGATAAAGAGAAAGAGATGGGCTGAGGGGAACTTTGGATTTGCCCGTGGCTGGCGAAAAGCTGACTTGGTATGCAGAGCTCGATGAAGCCTCCGTGGCATCATTCGATACATAAGGGGGAGGTGGACTGATGTCTTCTTGCGTTTTAATTGAACTGACTGCCTTGTCTTCAGCAGCATTTCCCATGTTGGATTGATTCTTCAGCCTTTTGTGATAATGGAGAGGAGTTTGACGGACGAGGCTGGAGGTTCTAATTCCGTTTTTGCTGTCACGTAACAGGGTATTTAACCAAGGCAAGTCCATTGCAACTATCAAGGAGCTTTTAGCTCAGTTTCTATTAATATCGTTTGTTGGTGGTTGGTTGGTGGTTGGTGTTGGTGCTCGCAAGGGGCACAGCAGATCATGCAAACACACTCCCCTGCATGCCCATACTAACAGCACTGGGCATCCAGGCTGTGACGACGCCAACAGACTTGGCATGAGGGCAGGATTCAGTGTGACATCAGCTCCAGCTGCATGCAGAATTTAATTAGATTCAGGTGGCGTGTCAAAATCAGATCGTGCAGTGCCAATCGCCCGCGGTCCTGTTGACAGTGTAATCTCGGGCTATTACAATGATCAACACGATCAACTTGATTGAACAACCGGAGTTTTCGATGACTTGAACTATTGAAAAATTTCAGTTTGAAAACAAAACCATCTATGTTACGCTTGAATCAAGGCAAACATGCCGAACACACTTGTTCGGCAACCACAGTACCTTTACAAGGAGGGCTTTGGATGCTACCAACTAGCTGTGATTGCCACATGGAGTTTAACTGGACTTGGGAACCTTTATACAGCCACTTTTTACTATCCACTCACATAGATGTCTTTAGGGAGGGCTTTTCGGACCTTGGTGTTCCATGACACATAAGCTTCGGATGTCAAAGCTTTGTATCATGAGCTTGATGGACTATCTTCTTCCTCATTTCAACTTTACTTACCGCTGGGTGAATGGAACAAGCGCTCCTTGCCTTTGAGAAGAAAATTAAAGAGGAAACAGCAAAGATGGATTTCATCAGCGCAAATGACTTCAAACCCGCAATTCTGTTTGTGGCTTCTGCTACGTTGACTACGTTAACTCTTCATCTTCCTCCACAATTTCACTCATGGCTCTTTCTTCCAGCGTGGCTGCTCACTGCCTTGTCCTTGGCCTTCGTCAAGGAAGACATGACACCGAGCGGGCCTGTAGGACTTAACTCATACACCGTCATAACCTGCTTTATTTTCATGCTCATTTTACCTACGATTCTCCTATTCGAAAATCATTCTTTGGCGCCACGCCTGGATCAAAAGAGCGGTCAGCGTGTTAGGGCCAGCCTGTTGCCCTGGCCGAGTCGGCGCAGTGTCGCTGCTGCCTGTCGCATTTGGAACAACCCCCGAAACCTACAGTTCCGTAAACCCGGCCCATCTTCTGCTTCGTGGAATGCTTTGATTCGATTCCTCTTCCGCCGCGGGTCAAGGGTCGCGGTTAGTTTCCTCGTCGACAAATTTCTTCCAGCGCATCCAGAGACAACTTTTAGCCGCTAGTAGTCTACTCGATTTCACGCCAGACCAACAGCAAATCATCAGGCCAATCTTCAGTCATTTGTTTTCTAATGGTATCGAAAGCCCATACGGCCCCATCTCTTCACATCGCCTCGCACTTCGCGCCTTCACGTCGGTGTCGTGGATATGGACCAACTTCCTCGTTCTGGAGACTTATCACTTTCTTTTGGCGATCATCTTTGTGATGATACTTCGTCTGGACGATCCAGAAGACTGGCCTCCTCTTTTTGGCAGTATTTCTGATTCATGGACTCTCCAGCGCTTCTGGGGTCGCTTTTGGCACCGAGTTGCAACACCAACGCTCACAACTTGGACGAGATTTCTCTTGCGAGGAGTAGAGACAAGGGCCTTGGAAAAGGTGCTACAAGCATTTGGCGTATTTCTTTCTCTCTGGGCTGATGCACGCAACAGCATCGTGGAGAACCGGTCAACACTTCGAACATTTAGACGTGTGGTTTTTTTCTGTGATTTTCGTCGCAATTGGAGCTGAAATCACTGTCATCAAATCTCTCTCCTGGGGTCTCAGGGGCACAAAAGCCGCGCTCCTGGTTGAGAAGAGCTGGCCAATTCGCATCATGTGTAAAGCTTTCGGGTTTATATGGGTTTTCGCGTGGTTCTTTTGGGCAGTACCAAGATGGCTTTATCCAAAGACTATGCGATGGGCAATCAAGCAAGCTTTGATCCAATCGTATGCCTCTTAGTCAAGATTCCTCACTGCTCAATGATCATATGACATCGTAATTGATTTTGAGCATTCATTTTGAGCATATGTTGCTATCTATTTTACCATTGTCTTGATCGTGATTAGCAGGTCAAACATAAAGGATCTATGGATGAAATAATCCACGTCATTTCTTAGAGTAGATACTATGAGTGTGTCCGGCTTTCCATCTATAATAAACTCTTTCCAGCAGATTTGTCGCGCTGTTGTTGTTATGTCATCAACTTCTAGACGAACTTGTGCGAACAAGAACGACTTCGCTTTTCGTCAAAACATTTTGCCTCCTCAGACGATCTCCATCAATCTCAGCCTTGCCAATCTACCGTACCGCATTCTTGAGTTATTTCATGTTATTGTCAGGAGTCAGGGGGCTACAGAGTGGGGTCACTGATTGGGTTGGTGATCAGCCCGCTCATTTACAAGGAGGCTGTGGCGCATGTTATACACACCTTATCTATATAAGAGCGGATAGGATGCTAAGCTTTCTAATAGGCATAGAGGTTTTTCTATGAAGCCTAGACCATCCTGGCCCTTGAATATCTCCCCGTGAGAGTCATACGGCAATCACCAAGGTGCGCCTCCAGGCGGCAAACTGCGAAGAACAAAAGTTAGAAGGGAAGAAAGAGGTTGTACACACCAGACTGCAGCTGAGACGTTGCGGGGGCTGCTGAGCTAACAACAACCTCTTAGTACGGCAGCAATATGCCGTATAAACATTAGCAGCAAAAAAAAAAAAAAAAAAAAAAAAAAAAAAAAAAAAAAAAAAAGGGAAAAAGGAAAACATCGTTGAGCCCAATGAGTTGCCATTCCCACTGGCTCATAGGTTGATTTTGGTGCGTCGTTTGATGAATGTTTTCCTAGGCAGAAGACCTAGGTCACGGCGTTAGAATATTTTCAAATGGAAGCTGTAGAAGATTTGCGAGCTGAGGCAAGTGAATTTGAAACTTTTACTTACAGCAAACAAACCTTGTCCCACACTGAATAAATTGATGCCAGGAGGTCCTTGGCTATCAACTATCTTGGCCTTAGAAACATCCACACCGGCAAGGCCCACTACATACATAGTAGGCAACAACGACTATCTTGGCTGCAGAAAATTCAGCTCCCGTATCCACAAGTTGAGGCCACCCGACTATCACGACCTGTCAACCTAACGAGATATTTAAATGTTCAAAAACGTATACTATTTGGTGTTTTGGGGTCCCTTTTCGGCTCGGCTTGAGTGGACGGTCTGTCGTACATCATCAATCTCACCTGTTAGAGTGGGTTTGGATGGCTTGTGCCACGACTTCCAACACATCTTGGGGTCTCAAAGCACTGCCCATGAACTCAAACAAGTTTTCAAAACGAGATATTAATCGTACGAGTATCGTCGGGGCTTATCGCCGAGCCCTCCTGAGCACCGTGACGGCCCCAAGGACTCTGTATTCGTGAAACCCTGCGCGTGAGTAGACGGTGCTACGAACCTTCGTGACCCATCGTGGAAATCCCATGACGGTTGGAAGCTTGCTGATAGAGGAAGTCTGACATTATGATAGGAAGCAAAGTCCGTTCTCCAACATAACCTTCTTCCCTTCTAACTTTTCCTTCGCAACTTGCCGCCGGGAGGCGCACCTTTTAAACTGCCGTATGACTCTGACCGAGAAATATGTGGAGGGTCACAGCGTAACCTCTGTAGTTAACCCATGGGGTATATGAAGGGGGGTTTCGAGCCGCCTTTAGCCCAAATTTGAATTCCTAGTCTTCAACAAACATCCATTGAATTGCAACAAACACAGAAACATTCTTGAACCCACCACCAATATTGATTGAAGACCAAACATAACTATTGCTCAATTCCTTGCCCGAAGACATCCCTCAATTCTTCTTCCCTTCCAATACCACCACTGGTTTATCAACATGCAGACCAACACTATGATGATCTCCTTGGTTGCAACCCTCCTTTGCGTCCCCAGCGCGATGGCTTCCTTGCCCCTCGTCCCTGCGGCCCTTGCAGCCTTTGGTGTCTGGAGTTCTGGATCTATGACTTCCGGGGGCGTCTCTGGAGTCGTGTCCGGCGCAGTCGATGCAGGCATCGGCTGTACTACAAAGTCCGACTGCAAGCGCCAGGAGGATGCTATTCGCTAAGCACGAGACATGGCGCATGGGATCGCCGCAGAAATTGCGGCGGCGATGGAGAAGCAACAAGACGGCCCCGGCGCAGCTCCTGTTGGTGTCCCTCAGCACACCTGGGACGACTGCTACATTGAAGCTCTTGGCTCTCACATCACAATCACCGGTTCCATCGGCGACAATCACATCCGTGCTGAAGGAATGCCACCCACTTGCATGACCCTCGCCACGGTTGTTGGGGATACCGCTGGTCAGGGCATTCCCATTCCCTGCGGCTCGGCCTGCATGGAATGGACGAACATGACGCCCGAATATTACGAGTTCGTGCGTGGCATGCTCAATTCCCAGGTTCTCAGCGCCTGAAAACATCTTTGATGAACGAGATCTCTTCAACTTCTCTTGTGGTCATCCAGCTAGCACCACCAAACCTGGTGACCAAAGTCAATAAGAGGACAATATGGGGGACGCAGGCTGGAGCCGTTTATCTCGGTCTTTACTTATTCTTTGTACTTGCCGGGTATTGGTCACTCTTAGGCTGGATCTGTACCTTATGTAGGGGCACATGTAAGGTTTGATGAGATCTTTGTAGAAACGTCTCATTGAACCTTAAAGATAAGATGTAGATTTCCGGGATGAATAGACGCTGTTTTCTTCACGGCCAATTTGAAGCATTCAATGTTCCTCTTTACGTGAACTGTCAAGACGAAAAGTGCTGAGACGGGCTGTTAAACAGGATGAAAACTTGCCTCGTTACAAATTGTTCGATCAGCACGAAATTACACACTATAGAATCTCTTACGACAGGAGCAAGATTAAAGATATTTATAATATATCGCGTCGCGGCGATTGATAGGACATGTAGCGGAGACACGGACAGTCCATTGCCGGACCTCGCAGTACTGGGCGCTCCGGATGTGACGAACGCAACAAATATGGAAGAGACACAATTCCAACAGAGCACAGCTTACGATGTATTGGGGCTGTTTGTGAAGCAGCTTAGACGAGGTAGCTTGCGAAAGAAGATCTATAATTCACAAAAGAAAGAGCACAGTAAGAGGCAGTACTAGATACCAAAAAGTGTCGGTCGATTTGGCTGGTTTGAAGCGCGGACACAACTTGGATATTCCAAACTTCAACTCACTACGAGCCCGTCTGGGTGGCACCGGGTGCTTGAAGTGGGCTGATTGTTAAGACGACTGTAACCCCAACTAAAGCCTGTGAGCTATCGATAGTGCCGAGGGATGAGCTACTGCTGGGTAACGTAGATGCTGATGAATCTGGTCCCGTGGTCGGTAACACGGAAGTCCCTCCAACGCTGATGTCGAAGATGGTGCTGGAGGTGGTAACTCGAGGTGATGATGGTGAATCGCCGGGGGAACTTGTCGTTGCAGAATCTGTGGTAGAGCTTGTCGTAGAACCAAGCATAGTACCAGGACCAGAATCAGAAGAAGATCCCACAGGACTGATGGCGGAGCTGGTAGGCGTTACCAAGCTCGAGCTGGACGGTATCGCGAGTGCGGTCGGAGACACCACATTCGATGAGGCTGTGCTCTGGAAGCTTCCATCACTTGTCAACGCGCTTTGTGCTACTGAAGTATTGCCCGTCATCGGTGTCGTCGTTGAAGTCGAGGAAGAGTTGATCAGCTGGAAAGTGGTTGCCCGCGAGGTGGAGTCGCTTGAAGACAGGACCAACGTAGTGCCGGACAATATCGGATTTTGAGAACCGGCAGATGTAGCGGAAAACATCTGTGATAGCGATGCCGACGAACCCGTTGTGCTGGAGCTGGGTAAAGGAGACGATGCGGAGGACGATAGGCTAATGGTGACCGATGAGCCAAGGAAGGGAGACGTCGAGGTACTGGAAGACATGACTGCGGGTGATCTAACACCGTAAACCACGACGTATTGCGCCTGGCAACTAAGACTAAAATTGCAGCCGCAAGGTGATGTTGAGTCTGATTTGCAGGGATATCTGTTGCAATTCTCATCGTTGGTAGCTGGTCCACGCGGAGCGACCATATTGCGTAAAGGAGCACAATAGCAGGCCGCACCAACCAGATACACAAAGAGAGCATTGAGGTCAGCGCAACGAGCTTGACATCTCACTGGATCCCCAATAATGCCGTCTTGGTATATGTATGTTGATCCCGCGAGGCTCTCGTCTGTGTAGCATCCAAGATATGAGTACGGTGATACAGGATTCGGTGATATGCCATTCCTTTGCAGTGAGGCTGAAGAGGAGGCCGAAGACGATGTTGTGCTAATAGATGGTATCAAGGTTTGCGTCGCGACTCTCAGACCGACTGCAGGTCGGACTAAACAGCACAGGGCTGCCAAGAGGGGACCCCACCACAAGCCCATGATGTTAAGTGATCAGAAAAGATTTGACAATAAGATGTGATTCGAGGACAAGCACACACTATCAAGGACTCAAAGATGGTCTAAAGAATCGTTGTATGGTGTCTGGGAGGTTCATCTGTCGCAATACAAGGGCCTATGGAAGAGGTTGTGTGGGAAACAGTTATAGATGAAGGCACAATTAAAATAAGTTGGGGGGCTGCGTCCCCTACTTCTCCTTGAGGATCTCAAGTTCTAGCTCTAGATGAACGAGCTTCTTCTCACGACATAATCTCCACGTCGCATTCCGAGTTCGCCAGGTTGAGAATTGGGAATCGACAAAAAACGTCAAAAACCAACAGCGCCACGAGTTTAAGACCAGCTGAACCAGAACTGTTAGATTATCACCATTATACGTGAGCCTTGGCAGTCTAATACCGGTTGTTCCAAATGCCTCCCTCCACTCCAGTAGTTGCAGCCTGCATTCGCCGCGGCCCGAGGGTTCGGTTCGTGGGCCGAATCCGGTACACGGTAATCTACGAAGATTCCATTCCAAAATACTACCTCCCAAGGGGCGGAAAGACCCACTGACCGCCTTCAGGCTTTACAGACTGGGGGTAGTCTCAAATAGCAAACAGAGTCCCTCTCCTTCTGCAATACAGTTGAGCCCTTTATTCTACGTGAACTAGATTCCAGCAAGGTTTTCGCACTTTCTTTTGCGGAACCATTATGTGGTGATTGAAGACATTTCGCATTGCAAGATTATCAACTTCCAAAGGCCACTACAATCAGGCGCTCATCGCCCGAGTCGGATTGGGAGGTACAGGAACAGGCGGTAAGATAGAAAGAACGACCGGGATCCCGACCAGCCCCCCCGTCGACGCAAGAGTTGGCCTGGATGAAACAACAAGCTTGTCGTGGATCGTGTCATCGTAGGTGTCGTCCTCGAGGGACTGCTAGAGCTCGCGGCTGGTAGCGTTGATAGCTTGGTTGAAGAACTTGACGTGGTTGACGACCTGAGTGAAGAACTTGGTATGGCTGACGTTGCTGGGGCAGCTAGGTTTGACGGTAGGCTTTGAGAAGTGCTCTGGTCATTGATGCCCGGTATGACGATCGGTGCTGCTCTCGGGGTTGAGACTGTAGACGACAAATTTGTGAATCGCAACGAAGAGGACGCAGCAGGTATGTTAGTGGGTGTGGTTGTGGTTCGGGGCACCGAGAGGCCTGCAATACTTGTCGAAGACGTAGTCAACCGAGTGGTCAAAGACGTAGCCAACCGAGCAGTTGAAGTGCTTGAGATGGATGACCCTGGCAAAACCTGCACAACTGGGTATTCATAAACTGAGAACTTTGTACCAGCATTGCGCCCGCCGCAACGGGCGGTGCGATTCCCTTCGCACACGATCGTGCAGAGGCTTTCATCGACAAGGAGGGATCGTGGCGGGTCCATAACGCCACCCGTCTGGCAGAGACAGGAGATCGAAAGCATTAGCAAGAATGGCGCTGCTAGCCGGGCGCAGGCGGCTTGACATGCAGCTGGATCGCCACCAGCAGAGTTGATACCTACGTAGCGGCCTTGATACTGAAGATCGTTGTCATAGCAGCCGAGGTACGAGTACGGGCTCGCAGAAGACGGTAGGGTGTTGGCGGTTGTTCTTGTGGATGTGGACGTTGCGGGCCTCACTGTTGTGGTAGATGTAGACGTTGTAGAACCCGAAGCCAGAACCATGCTGTTTGGGCTCGTAAAAGAGGTCGAGGTTCTCGAAATGGCCGGGCTTTGGACAGATAAGGAGGCTGCCGAAGACCTCGATGTTGTAGAGATGCTCAAGCTCCCAGGTGCTATCAATGATGTCGGGACTGGGCCTGGGGTGAACATGATAGGTCCTCGCGTAGAGACACCGGCCGAGGATAGCGCCGATGTTGATGTACTTGCCAAAGACCCTTCCGGAAGATAATCTCTGTACAAAACAGAATAGAAAGTATTATCCTCAAAATTTCTTCGGCCGCAAGGGGAATTGGGGTTGTTCAAGCAGGGCCCAGCGCAGAAAGAGTCGTCGACCGTAGGGTTGTTTATGCGGAGATATTGGGGATTTCCACAGTAACATACTGTCCCCACCAAAGTGACAAAGTGAGATTGCAAACGATCCAAGCATCTCGCTTGACACGCAGCTGGGTTGCCGAGGATGTCGCCTTGCAATGTGAACACGTCCGTATCATAGATACTCAACATATAATAGCATCCGACGTAGTTGTACGGAGGCCAGGGGGTCTGGGAACAAAGATGCCGAAGGCGACGTAGATCAGATTGAAGTCCTGGTAGAGATGAGCCGTGATGTTGTGGAGGGCGGTGTAGCTGATGACGAGACACCTGGCTGTCTGCCACCGTATACGGTATAGAACAGTCCCGAGGCTGAGCCACCGCAAGGGGAGCCAGGGCTATTACGACAGGTGATGCTGCACTCTGAATCAGCTGCAGGAAGACCCGGTGGCGCGTTGATGCCAGAACTCGCAGGCTGGCAGTAGCACGAGTCGAACAGCATCATCAGAAACGGCGACCCGGCAGCACCACACGCAGCCTGGCACGCTACCGGATCACCAACTGCAGTGCTTTGGAACTGCCAGATAGCACCCGACTGGACGCTCACGAAGGAGTAGCACCCGAGGTATGATGAGTATGGAGGCCGAGGTACCGGGATCAGATACCTGCTTTGAGGTATCGATGATGTTGACGATGAGGCCAATGTGCTGATACTCGACAACGTGGTCACTGAGGACCGTGTATTGCTAGTCGACGACACGCGTGGGCTGAATGGTGCTCTGGGACCGTACTTGCCGTACACCGTGACATACCTCCCAGCATCCGCATCGGACAATGTGCCACACGGGGCGTTGGGGTCCACGAAGCATGGCGTAGTGCAGAAGGAATTGTCGACTGGAGCGCCGCCCGGTTGGTGGATGTCGAACTCCACCTCGCGGACCTGGCAGTAGCAGTATGTGCCGTACATGAAGACGTAGGGTGCGTGGAATTGCTGATCGCAGCCGATCTGGCAATCGACTGGGTTGCCGTTGTTGTAACCTGTGGCAATGTTCGGTATGTCGTATGCCCCGATGGCGACATCTGCAGTGTAGGGATAGCATCCCAGATAGTAGTACGGTGATTGTTCCACTGGCGTCAGGACGGTTGTGGTGGTTATGGCGATTGCGTTGGTTAGAAGCGCCGCAAGGGAGAGCAGTGTTGGTACGCGCATGTTCGGAGGATGTTTGGGGATAGTTTGATGTCGGACAATGAAGCTGGCGGTCGCAGGTGTCTGATGAAGGATGACGATGCGTTCAGCGTGGACCGGGTGAATGGCGCCAGATGATGACGCTGTGTCGAAATCCGCTGCAATCGAGGCACATCTTGCTTCCGTTGATAAAGAATACGAGCGGTCGTAGATATTAAATGCTGTACCACAGAGCCTGCCTATCTCCCCATGTTGATGTTGATGTCTTGACTAGGCATGCTTGGCGGCCAACTTTAATCGCCAAGCTAGGGTCTAGGTCTATTGGCAGACCCCATCGACCGGTATCTGCTAAGGCCTCGCGAAGCTGGGGAATGAGTATCGATTACAGGGCTGAGTCGCGACGAATCATGGCCGAAGAGATCGCTGATGTCTGAGACTTTGGACCCTAAGAGCAAGGCAAGACCTGCAAAAGAGGGCCTAAAATACGCATAAATCAACACGGTTACAAACTCTCCAAAGCCTCAGCATTCTTCGCGGGCCCCCTCTGAATATCGCCAGATCACGGCGCGGTATCACTGCGATTTGCGTCACCAGAAGGGGTAGTAAATCTGAACGAGAGTCTCTTCGAAGACTTCTATTTCTATGCAAAATTCAGGGATATCTATCGCGGCGCTGAGCAATGCGTTTCTACATCTAATTCTATCATGCTGATCCCCATCACGACGGGGGCGCCTCGGCCTTCTCCTCACTCACAACCTTCCCAGCCTTCCGGTGCCTCCATTCCCTCGCCAAGAAGGTCAAAGAAACACACAATCCCAGGCCGGCCAGGCCGATGCCCATGTACATCGCGCCCCTGAAGCCGATAAACTTGTCCTCTGTCGTCTGCGCGCCGCGGTTGACGTGGACCTCCACGGTGCCCGCGAAGCCCACACCCAACGCGATGCCGTAGTTGACGACGGTGTTGACCAAACTGGCGCCGATGCCCTGGTGCTCCCGCTTGACGGCGTTGGACAAGATGAGCGTCGCCGCGGGGAAACTCATGTCCATGCCGAACGGCATGATGAGCATGGAAACGAAGATCTGCGCCCAGTAGATCTGGTTCTCGGGCGCCGTCGCCGTGAGGATGACACCGGTAGTGAACGCAACCAGGGCCATCGTCATGACTACCGCGGGACGGACCTTGAGAGGGCCGAGGAGCTTGCCGGTGATCACGGCCGCGATGCCGCCGGTGACCACGACAGGCGAGAACCACGCGCAGGTCAACAACGGCGACAGCGTCCGGATCTCCTGCAGGATCTGCACCAGGTACAGCGTCCACACGCCAAAGGTCGCCCATCCACACACGACAGCCGCCAGCACGAACGCGACGTCGGCGTTGACCGCGTCGAACGGCAGCAGCGGCTTCTCGGCGTACTTGAACTCGATCGCCGCGAAGACGCCGAACAGGATGAGACCGAGGACCAGCGGGACCAGGACCTCGGGCGTCTTCCAGCCGACAATGGGCGCCTGGTTCCATGCAAAGTTGAAGAGCACCAGCGCGACGATGCCGGTGACGGCGCCGGGGATGTCGAGCTCGACCATCATGTCCTTCAAACCCCGCGGCGGGCCCATCTTGCGCTGCGGCTCGGGGATGATGAAGAAGCCGGCAACGGCCAAGATGGCGAGCCAGATGGAGAGCGCCCACAGCGCCCACGGCCACCACTCGAGCTCGAGCACGGAGGCGATGGCGGCGCCGCAGACGCCGCCCATGGGCGCGACGGCGCCGAAGAAGGAGAAGACCATGGCCTTGCGGTGGCCGGGCGGGTAGGCGGCGCCGAAGAGGGCAAGGGCGTTGGGCAGGCAGATGGCCGGGCCGATGCCCTGCAGCACGCGGGAGAAGACGGCGAGGGTGAAGTTGGAGTAGACACTGAGGCCGGCGATGAGGGACCAGACGGAGAACCAGGAGAAGCCGATGATGAGCATGCGCTTGTAGCCGAAGGCGTCGCCGAGGCGGCCGGAGAAGAGGATGAAGGTGCCGACGGTGAGGGAGTAGCCGGCGACGAGCCACGCAAGGCGGGCCGGGTTGTCGACGTGAAAGGAGCCGCCGATTACGTGCAGGAGAACGAGGGTCTCCATGTATGCGGCCTCTGGATGTTTGTCTCAGTCAATCATGTTCATCTTGCGTGATGTAGAAGAGCTATTGATAGCCAGCTATGAGGGATACTCACGGGTGCAGAACTGCGCCATGCAGCAGATAGCTACGAAGAGCGCCTCACGGGGGAACGACATGGTCGTCACGGGCCAAACCTCGGAGGCATTGGTCTGCGTCGGCGCGAGGCCGTCGCCGTTGTCGTCGGATTCATCGCGGCTCGATTGGTCTGGCGAAGCGCTCGAGTCGTCCGGCATCGGCTTGTCTTCTTTCGTCATGTTGACATCAGGGGTCGCCGTCGCGGTCCTGTCTCCGGAGAACGAGTCGGCGCTCCTGCGCGGTTGCTGGTGCTTCTCGGACGCCGAAGGAGAAGACATCTTGTCGTTATTGTCTGGTGCAAAGCTTCCGAGTCCTCAGAGAGAGGAATCCAGGCGGCACCAGCTTCGAAGGGGGGTGGGAAGAGGGTGAGTTGAAGTAAAGAATGATCTACCCGTAGTGAAGGCGGCGACGGCAGATACGAGCGGGACCTTTCAAATTCGCCATACCGAAGCAGAGACGCTAACTCGTTCAAGAGCCAGGCAAAGATGGGGACTGAAAGAGAAAGAAGAGCAAAAAGGGAATCAATCGCCCCTAAAACCGGCGAGACCCAAAGCCACCCGGGGCCTGGTCTCCCTCGTCCGGAATTACACGTGGGATTGGTCCGTTTTTTTCTCACAAATTTGTAAGGGTCGAATCGATTTTGCATGGCCCAGGGGGTCCCGGGATGGATCCGTTTTGATGTGATGGTGGGGGTTCTTCCAGGAAGACCTTGACGAAAAACTGCCTCCATTTTCAATGTCTCTCTGCTGTTTGAACATTCAAAGCTGCCAACGCCGACAGGCCAAGACTAAGAACGACTAAACTCCTAAACGCCGTCCATCCAACCGGCGTGCGCACCGCGAGTCGGACGGCACATCATTTGGGACCACGGAAGACTCACGTTCTGCATTCCAGTCCGTGCTTGCTTACTGAGTGACAGCTTCTTTACCTTTTTATGGACCCCTTGTCTGGATATTTTTTCTCCTTTGGGAATACCGCCTGCGAGATCTAATCTGATGTGGCTCTTCCATTGACTCGGTGTCGAACATGATCGAACACGATGATGCCAATGGCTCCAGATTCCAAGGCCTCGCCGATGCCATGAGACTCGCCGACTTTTCACCTCTTCCAGAACACCCGAGAACCCTGATGATTCACATTGAGCATGGAGGAATCAGGGCTTCTCGGATGCCTACGAGGGGGAAACATCAAGAAACAGAGTGACAGAGAGCCTGAGCACCGGCCCCTCCACCGACAGCCCGGAAGCAGCCATGAACCAGCTTGGCACCTGCAAAGAACACCCTCTCCTCACAGACATGGAGACCATCAACTTCCTATTACAGAGCAAGGTCACGCGGATGTTCGAGACCACTCAGCTGCAGCCGGCTCTATCTCAGCTTCCCCTCCTCAAGCATGCGCAGGGCTGAATTGCTACAAGTCCCAGCGGTAGGGGACGCCAAACAGACGGACTGGGCTGGTCTAGTTCCGAGCACTAAGAAGCTCTGGGAAAGCCACCAAAGAGCTGCGCAGTAGAAACCCCGCGCGCGCTTGGGGGGACAAGGCTAAGAAGACGCCATCCATTCTAGGTCGGAAGCGGCCAAGCTGGGACCTGAGTCAAGACAAGACACTGACAAGCTGACACCGGCTCCGCGTTGACGGCACCTGGTGTCGGTGATTGTGGTCTGCTCAGCACTGAACGTGCCAGTGGCTTGCTTATCGCCTATCGCCCTTGGTCTGCTGTTCGGGTCCGAGGTCGGTCAGTGGGGGTGGGAAGATTGCCTCCGGATTACGAACCGTGACGGGTTCGGATGCTGAAGGAGCTTGAGTAGCGATCGGCCCGGAGGGTTTGGCTTGCAACGGCGCGCGCGGCTACCGTCATCATCCAGACTTGAGAAACCCGCGGCTTTAGATGTTTGTCAGGGTAAGCTTGAGCCGATTTATGATGATTGGCGTTTCCGAGCTCTTCGGCCTACGTTCCGGTGGGTGTAGTTGACCCCGGTCGCTCGCTGGGCTCTGATTGCTCGGAACTACGGAACGGGAATACGGAAATACGGAACGCTCACTCATCGCGAATCCTCAACCAACAGGATTTGTTGGCCGGGGATTTTGGCCATTCTCGAATCTCACGGTGACGTTTCTACTTGAGGCACAGAAATAATGATCGCTACCAGAAGTAAAGTGTTGTTCAGAGAAAGGAACTCAGTCGAGTTGGATAGGTACCCAATTGAGTTGAAGATGTTGCTTGGCCAGTTCATCTGATTTCAGCAGCCAAGCATCAAGAGACGTTGAAAGGTAAAGTATGTACAAAACTCTCTTCAACCACATCAGTCACCCTTCACCAATGCAATACCCATACATCTACCTCACAAGCATTGAGAATACCAATCATTGGCCTTCGTACACGTGTACGGGGAAGCGCAGACAGTGCACCCGCTGAACCCGCTCCCGCCGCACTGATCCCACCGGTTCGCCGTGCAGCCCCCGCCCCCGCTCGGCGGTGCCGCCGTTGTTGTCGCCGCAGGTGGCGCCGCTGCGGTCGTCGTCGTTCCGGAGCCGCCCTGTGTTAAACGATCAGTATCACATCAACAAGAACAACACCATAGAACACCCACAGTAATTCCAAACCACTTGAGATCCTCCGCGCCCATGACAGGCACGCTGTGCCCGACCCCAGCCCCGTAGATGCCCTGCAAATTGGGCCCGTAGATGTACTTGGTGTACTGCCCGCTCGGCGTCCCGGGCAGCGTCTGCTGCGGCGTCAGGCTGTACCCGAACACGCCGGTCCACTGCTTGATCGTCTCGTTCCAGTTCTGCGGGT